TGTGACTTTGACTTTCTTACTCGTAATTTTATATATTCCTTGAGTTCTTTAACAATAAGCATGAATTATTGGTACAAGCAGAAAACTAAAAAGAGAATGCGAAAGATTTGCCCAGCAACAGAGGGGCGTGGGGCCTGCAGCTGCGGCCAGGGCCGTCTCGGGCCTCGGGCCTTTCCTGACCTCTCCCGGCCTCCCTGACTCCGCCAAGGGCCAGCAGGCAGCAGCTCCTAGAATGTTCTCCGGCTTTGGACTAAGCTTCTGCATCTGCCTAAGTAACCAGCCCTGTTGTCTACTTCGGTCCAGTGAACCATGTGGCCACCCATTTTAAGCTTCCTGGGCAAACAATGTCTATTTAAACAACATAATTTAACATTTAAAAAACCTGACAGAAAGTAAAATTCCTAAAATTAAATGAGCCACTACTTACACTTCTTTGTCCTCGGACTCCTTAGCGGTGTCTGTACAGATGACTTCCCATGGCTCTAATGACTGTTTAGGGTCTCTGTGGAGGCCTTCACCCCGTGGCTCTCGCTGGAGACCTGAGTTACTCAGGAGGCCGTGTGACAACTGGAACTGTCACTGGTGCTCCGGCCGCACCCAAGCAGTTTCAGGTTGGGGGGAGCCAGGAAGTGCAGAAGTCCACGCAGAGGCAAAATGCAACACGTGCTGGCATGGGGGCTCCAGGTGGCTTTGCTGCGTTGAGCAGACTCTGTCCTCCTTTCCGGAGGGACAGTGTGGGAGAAGGTGTGGGTCTGTGTGTGTCTGTGTGGGGGTCGGGGGAGAGGAAAAGAAGAGAGAAAACTCATGTGCACATGAGAGAACAAGTATGTGCATACACCCATGCGTGTGTGCTTGTACATGTGTGTGCCCATATGTGTTTGTGTGCTTGTATGTGTGTGTTTGTACATGCATGTGTGTACCTGCATGACGAAGCCCGTATGTGCACCTTCTGTGTGCATGCGTGAGCGTGTGCATGCCACAGGGGGAGTTAGTGGGAGGAGCGGAAGGTGGGAAGGGGGAGTCGTTCGTTTATTTGAAGCAGATCGGACCCCTGTGCAGACTCACCGGAGCAGGGAGGTTTGCCAGGGGAGATGCTCAAAGCCTGAAACACAGCCTCCGACAGACGGGGGTGTGGTGGGGCAGCAACTACAAATAGAGAAACTAGAAATGCTTTATTTGCATTTGCCTAGCATGTCATGGTTGAAAAGCTCTTGCAGATATGAGATTTTGATGTTCGTGATAGCAGCGATAGATTGATTACAATTAGCCTCATTTTACAGCTGGAGAAGGAGAGGTGAGTGTCTGGCTAAGGTGGCCCTGAAGGTGGCAGAGCCGGGAGCTGGAGGGGTGGCCCACCCCCAGTGCTGCCGCGAGCCTGTGCCCAGCCCCTGCCTGGGCCTCCATCGCCTTTGGCCACGGTTCCTGCAACAACACGGATGATCTCAAGGGCTTTGTGCTAAGAGAGGGAAGCTAATCCGCCACTGTATGATGCGGTCTGCACAGAATTCTAGATGAGGCCAGGCCATGGGAACAGGAGGCAGAGCAGCGGTTGCCGGGGTGGGAGGTAGTGTAACAGGTAGGACGGAAGGGGCCAAAGGAAACTGACTGGGGTGGTGGACATGTTCTACAGTTTGATTTTGGTGGAGATGACACAAAT